GACAAAATGGGACCAAGAAGGTGAGGCTCATAGAAAGAAACCTCAGAGAAGCTATTCACTCTAATCAGCTGTAAGAGAACCCTCTTACAAGATCACTGCAAGCATCTGCTGGTAGACATGGGTCACTCTTGGTCTTCGGAGCCAGTAGTTGGAAAGAAACCTGAATGCAAAGTACGGAATATGAGGACAAGTTAGAACTCATTGGACGTATCTACATCTGTTCATCTCTCTATATGATTACAAAGCAACCTTTGAGAGTAATGTCTACGGCCCTTCAAACTTGCACAAATTCCTCTTTTGGCCTCCATAACCTGAAACTATACAGGGAAGGAGATTCCAGGGAACGTAGTTCCCAGACTAACTAAATCGACAACAGCATACTCCCTGAATATCTGCCTAGGTAAAGTCCGAAATGCTCAAGAGCCTAGAGTAGATTTCAGAAGGGCTCCTGAATATAGCCTGGGAATGTTGACAAGCAAAGACATGAGGCATGTGGATTGCAAAACAGCCTTAGTTTGTTCACCTTGTGTCTTAAAGGAGCACTGGCTAGAGAATCAGGATGCTGCAACTCTGAACCTGTATCCACCACTCGCTAGATTCATTTACCACTCACTGCATTCACCATTCACCTTCCCTGATTCATTTAAATTATCTAGGCTTCAATATCCTCATCTATAAAACAGGAACAATCACTCCTGAACTGCTTTCCCCCTACATTGCTTCCAGGAGTCTATTGGTGCCAATTGGTAACTGTCAATGCATTTGTTAAGCTGATGTGATGAATCTATGTGCAAGTGGAGAGCAGTGGTAGCTGCTCTTCCACAGAAATTTGACCAACTTCCTGATACTCTGCCTCAGTGTTGCCCAGGAGTTTTGTTCTGTCTCTGCTGAGATAGAAAACTCATGGAAAACAAAGACTCTGGCTTCTCTTTAGATTTGCCTTCCCAGCTCTCTATTTTCAACAGATCTCCTTCTGAAGACTAGGCTATTTGGGGTGGGAGCATGGAGCTCGGTGAAGACTGAACACCCCAGGCCTTCCCTGGGGTGCATGGAGCATGTACATGAAGCACGGTGAAGACTGAGCACCCCATTCCCTCTGACTGGATGCTCTCCCACCACCCCCCCAACCTCCCCTCACTATTTCTACCTGCCTAAATCCTACTCACCTTTCAGTCATCAGCGCCAATGTCATTCTCTTCTTTCTAAGTGTCTTCTGATTCCCTTCAGCTGGGTGCAGTTTTTTCCCTTCCTTAAACTAGGTGCTCCCATCTTTCCTTGCAGTTTCCATACCCTGACAATACCCTAACACACGTACATTTTGAGCACTTACCTTATTCTCCTACTAAATGTCACATTCCCAGAGGCAGGGGACTTTTTATTAAACTCATACAACAAACAAATAATTTTTGTTATCCTCCACATTATAATCTAGATAGAACTTGATACATAAATATTCATTGTATTGAGTTGAAAGAAAACAAATTGAGGACACACAGCCACGTGTTGATACGTTGCATAACGACAATCTATAAGGACAGGGTTGCCTACAATAATAGAAAAATGAAGAGTTTGTGATCCCCAACCACACAGGGTGTCCCTTATCATGAATTTCTTGTCTTCACTTGATAAATCCCTCCATCATGTTGATATGATGACCCCAGAGATGGGACAGTCCAAGCAGAAGCTAGGGCTCAATCCTCCTATACTCAGAAGTAAAGGATCTTTATAGCACTTTATATACCACAGAGAGGATGCAAATATTAACCATGGCCAGTGACCCTTCTGTTTAAGTTATGGCTGGAGCTGTCACAGCTGCATCCTCTCTAGGAGACAGTCCATGCACCAAGATAAGGTTTCAAGAGGCCCTCGGGCCAGGAAAATTGTTTGGCCAAGTGTCTGTGTCTTTTGTCATGTACTGAGTTGCTGAGTTCTTTTCCCTTGTCTTAGGACAGTTCCAAAAGCAAAACTGATATCAGAAAATGCTCATGTTATCTCTCTACCCTTGAGCAAGTCATTTCCTCTCTCTGGACCTCGGTTTCCTTTAGAAGGAGGGAGATTGAAAGAGCTTTTAAAGGTCGCTGCCTACGCTGATATTCCAGGACTCTATTCTGGGCTGCAGACTGAATTCCCAGGGGCCCAGGCTACTGGCCTTCTCTTCTCTGCTTCTGTAAGTGTCTATGGCTCAGCTTTCCTCATGGGTCTCTTACCTATTCTCTGGAATACTGTGACTCTGCCAGTAATGAACATTTGTTTGCCATCATGAACTGGTCCTTAACCTCAGAAATTACAAGGAAGGAGGCTATTTGTTACAGACCCTAGATAGTGTCTCCCTAGTCCAAATGATCTCTGGTTTGGTTCATTTGAAAGTGTTCATGCTGTAATCACTGCAAAACCCAAGAGGCCTTGAGGATGCCAAGTTACAGAAAGGAGATATGTGGCTAAAACTGTTAATGCTCAAGGCATGACTATTGACTGGTAACTGATTTTGTATCACATAGTCATAAACCACAGACAAGTTCAAGTTCACCAGCAGGCAACAATCTGTGTATTGAAACTCCTGCTCACCATCTTCGAGTTGGTTTATGTAATGTATGGCTGTGATGACTTGTTAGAACTATGTCAGGCTATATATAATGACTGCTGTGTCAGAACTGGAAGGAAATCTAGTTGAAGCCACTGTTTACAGGTGGATAATTGAGAGCTAGAAAGGGGATGGCCATGTAGCAGTTTATGGTAGAGTCAGGAATAGGACCCAGGACCTCCAATTGCCAGGTTCATACACTTTACATTACCCCAAAGCAAACATCACCAAGATAGTGCACTCTAGTTCATGCAGTTACTCATAGAAGAATTCCTTTCCTCAGCCTTCACTTTAAATCTATTTAGTCTTCTTTTTATTAAATTCCAACAAAAGCACTTTAACTGGTTTCTAATTTGTAACATATTAAAAATAAGCAGACAGGAAAGTGCAGTTAATTGACTGATAAAAAGGCAAGAAATAAAGCACTACATTAAAAAGACATAAGAATTTTAAGGCATTACAGTCTGGCAATGCTCAATGTAGGGCAAGCAACATTATACAACTCAACATCCCAAGATTATTACTTTAATGTAGTATCATGATGGTTGACATTCATAACAATGTTCCTGGATCACCAAGAAAGGGTCAGCATATTTCACTTAAGAAAGTAGGGACTTGTATAAACCACTTTAAAAAAAAAGCATTATACCAATACAATTTTTTTTTAATTATATGAGGTAAATCTTCAGCTATCTGGAAAACTCAATCAAATAAAATAACCCAGCAGCTGGGATGTTCAAGGAAGTGACATGTCAACTGTATGCAGATAGGCACAGTCTACATTAATAAGGCTGGTGTGAGTTCGGCTAGTATCTGCAGAGAAAAGGAATAAATAGCAAAGCCATGATCTCATCTTCTGTTTACACTTCAATTCCCAAAGTTAGTGATTAATTGTCCTTGTGTTTTGTTGCCAGGGCAAATTGTTTTTCTTTAAAACTCTCACTTATTTTAAATAAATAAACCATTAGTTTCAAAACAGAAGTGTCAAATGTCAAGATACTTTTGACATATTACGCTAATGAACAAAACAATGAATTCATTAGAAGCCACTAGAGATAGGTAGTCTTTGAGAATTTTCCTTTAATGACTTTGAAAAGCAGCAGAAATCATTCTTGGTAAAAGATTTTCTCAAGTATCTTGGCTAAAACATCAGTCCAGAAGTTTCAAACACAAATACAAGCTTAAAAGAATGGAGTTAGGCATAAGAAAATAGAGTTAGTAGTGGGGAGGTCAAGTATTCATAGTCAAATAAATATACCCACCAGCTAACATATTGAGTTTCTCAAATCAGACTCTCATAACATCTGCTTTAGGCAACCAGTTTAGGATCTCTGCTAGGGTCTCTGAATTTGCACGGGGCCTCTGGCTCTTCCAGAGTAGGGAATTCTTTTAGCAAACAGACAATTTTTTTGCATCTAAGCCTTAACAAGCATGTGCACATGCACAAAGATACACAAACATGCACACTTTCTGAATGATTCTAATCAATAGTTTCTATATTATTAAGACTACCTATTAAATATAGTTCTGATTACATGACTTCCCTGTTTAAAAGTTTTCACTGTTTTCTATTTACAGCATTAATGACATTCAAGGCCAACCATAATCTACTTTCCACATATCCTTCCAAGTACATTTCCTCCTACAATCCCCACAGACTCCCTGGCTTTTCATTGTTCTCATTGTGCTTAAAATAGGTCTTGCACTGTTAGTTCTTGTAAACAAATATTTATTGGATAGCTTCTATGTGCCAGGTCTCGTTCCATGCACTGAGGACACATCTGTAAAGAAAAGAAAGCCCTGCTCTCCTGTAGGTTATGTTCTAATGGGCATCTTTCATCTCCTTCTGAGTGTACTTGTGCAGTACTTGTGCTTCTATTAAAGCACTTGTCACACTGTATAATAATTCTGTTTGTGTCTGTTTTCCTCGATCTCAACATGCTGTCCTGTGCACAGCACCGTCTTACCCATCCATCTCTCATCACCCCCATCTCATGCTTTGTTCAGTGGCAGGCAGGTACTGGTGCTCAGTGAATGACTTACATTGTGCATAACGTTTCTTTGCTTTGGAAATGTGGTTAAGTTCCTGTTGCACATGGAATCCATCACAAGGTTAACTAAATTTAAAAATTTTTAACATAGAATTATTTTTAATAAATTAGACAGTTGGTTGTCAATAGGAAGGATAATTGTCAAGTTACTTCTGATGGAACTAAATAAAATGAATGAAACTGGTCAGATGACCACATTACCTTAACCTGCAATGTGTCCTTCCTCAAATTCCAGAATCCCTAATCCCTTATCTTTGGGTTTCCCGGGCTGTCTACTCATGGGCAGTTCCTTCTTTCTTTCTAAAGATCAGGAGAGAAGTGAAAATGGGAAGCTGCTCATCTTGTTCCCTTTCTCTTTGACCTCCAAGGTAGAAACTGAAGACCAGGTGCTGGCAACCTTCTGTGGCAGGGAGACCACAGACACAGAGCAGACCCCTGGCCAGGAGATGATCCTCTCCCCCGGCTCCTTCATGTCCGTCACTTTCCGGTCAGACTTCTCCAATGAAGAGAGATTCACAGGCTTTGATGCCCACTATGTGGCTGTGGGTAAGTTGAATAACAGGGTGGTTCATCCCCAGGTCTCCCTGTCTGTCTAAAAGTGAAGCTGCCTGTGCCCTCTCCTTTACAGTGAGCACCTGTATACCCTCCACATAGACTCTACCATTAATGTCTTACTGCATCTGCTTTCTCCCATATCTATCCATCCATTTATCCTCTGTCCGTCCATTCAGCAAGTTGTATTTTTGATGTGTTTCAAAGTACATTGCAGACATTAGTACATTCCTTCCTAAATACGTCAGCATGCACAGCATTTTGTTAGAGTTCAATATCTGTTCAAAGTTTTGACTTTAAGCATAAAATTTACATATAATGAAATGCACAAATTTTAACTATACATTTGCTGAATTTTGAAAAATCTATATTTATGTGTAACCCAAACATCTAACAAGACAGTAAACTTTACCATCAGCCCAGAAAGTTCCTTCATGTTCCTGCCTGGTCAATTCCTGCTCCCACCTCCCTTAGAGGAAACAACTGTTCTGATTTTTTTCTGCCATACATTAGTTTTTGCCTCTTACAAAACTTCACAGACATAAACACACAGAGGATATATTTGGGAGTGAGGATTCTTTAACTCAGGATAATGTCTTTGAGATTCATTCATGTGCCACATGCATTAGTAATTTGCTCCTTTTACTGGCAGAGTAATTTTCCATGTGTTAATATGAATATGCTACAATTTATTTATCCATTCTCCCATTGATGGCCACGTGGGCTTAAACCATTTTTTGGCTTTCATTAATAAAATCTCTATGAACCTTCTTATTCAAGTCTTTTCGTGAACATATGTTTTCATTTCCATTGGATAAATATACAGGAGTAGAATTGCTGCTTCATAGGACAGTTGTATGTTTACTTCTATAAGAAATTTCCAGATCTTTTCCAAAGCAATTGCACCATTTTATATCTGTCCATCCATGTATGAGAATTCTGGCTGCCCCACACCCTCACCAATATTAGATGTTGTCAATTTTTAAATGTTCAACCACTCCAGTCAGTGTGCAGTGATACCTCATTATGGTTTAAATTGCATTCCCCTGATGACTAGTGATGTTGAACATCTTTCTGTGTGTTTGTTGGCCATTCACATACCCCTTTTGGAGAAATGCCTAGGACAAGACTTGACCCACATTAGGGGCTTAGAAAGAAAGAGGAAGCATGGGGTGGATGTGAAAAGCACAAGCTCTGTAGCCAGCCCACCTGGATTTGAATCCGGGGTCTGCCACTTACTACCTGTGTGACTTTAAGTTCTGCAATGCATCTATGTCTCCGTTTCACCACCTGTAGAATGAGAATAGTAACGGAATGTGTAGTAACAAATGTGGAATGCTTCCTGAGGTTATTGCCTGGCACACAACTATTATCACAACTGTTAGAGGATAATGGTCCCACCAAGAGTCAGAGTCAGGTTGCCTGGGTTTGAACCTGGCTCTCTGTGATCTTGAATAAGTTGCTTAACCTCTCTGAGCTCCAGTTTCCTCATTTGTAAAAGGAAGATAATAGCTACACCTCTAGATTTGATGTAAGGATTAAATAAGAGAATGCATGAACCTCCCAACACAGTGGCACATACTAAATGCTCCATAAAGATTGGCTGCCATATTCATCACAGCGTACATATTGACGGAGAGGCTCTTCCTACCCTGCAGATGTGGATGAGTGCAAGGAGAGGGAGGACGAGGAGCTGTCCTGCGACCACTACTGCCACAACTACATTGGAGGCTACTACTGCTCCTGCCGCTTTGGCTACATCCTCCACACGGACAACAGGACCTGCCGAGGTAGGGCCTGGGTTGATTCTATACCTTGCCGTTAGATGCCACATCTTGAAGAAGACTAGATGAAGGTCAGGGGAAAGACAGATACCCAGTAGGAACAAATTAAAAATGAAGTCAGAGATGTGCCTCAGATACCACACGGGTGAAGATGCTAAAGTGCCCACCCAGCCTAGAAAGCCCAGAAGCCTGGGCTTGGCTTTCCAAAGACCATGTGAGAGATGCTGTAGACTACGAGGCCTTCTTTATTCCTGGGCAGCATTTCTGCTCTGTAGGTCCTGTCTCCTTTCCTCATGTAGGAGTTCGGGGGAAGCCTGGGTTTCCCAGTGCTTTCTCTCTGAGCCATGAACAATGCCTGCCCCAGCAGTTCCTTTTCCTTTTCTCTTCCGTGGCCTCTATATTCCTGCACGTGGAGAGACCTCAACCAGAAGGAAAGAAAAGGGAGGAGAGAGGAAAAGACAGACACAGCAGGGAAACTTCCCATTCCTTCTATCTCTCATCCACAGAGCTACTGTGCTTTTAGTCTCAGGCTGGGGGAGGGATGGAGAAATGGAAGGATTCAGCCACTTCCCAAGAGGAGCTCTTGGACTAAGTGGGACAATAGCCACGTGAGCAAATGGTGAAGTATAGTAAGCGCAACATTTGCTACACTCAAGTAATGGAAGCCTGGACACGGCACAGTCAGACCTGAGGAAGCCTGGAGAAGTGGGCAGAGATGCAAGAATAAAGAGAAGGAGGGCATTCCAGGCAGAGAGAATGCTTCTGTGAACATCTCGAGGTGTGATAGAACTTGGAACGTGTGGGGAACTGCCAGTAGGTGAGTGTGATCCAGGGTTAGGGGCTGCGCTGAGATCTCACTCGGAAGCTGAAGGAAAGAGCACTGGATGGGGGCAAAGCTGGGGACAAGAGTGGCTTTTCCTCCTTCTCCAAAAACTGCTATTTGCTTCTGAGCAAAACTCCATGTAACCCATCAGTATAAAGCAATAGTAAAGCAAAGAACAGGCACACCCCAGAGGTTTCTCATAGAGGGTTGTGTTTTCTATTGCTTTTATTCAGTTAAATTTTTCTTGAGTATTAACTATGTGCTGAATAGGGTGGGGGCTTAGGATAAAGCAAGTTTTCTCAGTCATTCTTTTCATTTTCAGCCCTGCCCCCAGGAGACTTTTTAAACATTTTTCTAATTACTCCCCTCCCCCATGAAATTTTAATACTACACACATATACTGTATATTTTGTTTGTGTATTCTCTGTGTATTAGGCATAAAAAAGTAAGATCTCCCCAACCAAGAACCAATTTTACCCCCCTTGGAGGTGCGATCATCCCATGAGGACACTTGGGGTGGAAAATGAAAACAGCGACTCAAGGAATGTCAATTTAACCTTGTTCTGCAGCTCCTAGCTGTGAAACTTTGTTGGTCGTGCCTCCTGATCTGAGCCACAGTTTTCTCTTTTGCAAATGAGCAGAATGAACAAGGGCCTAGAAAGATCGACATCCCAGATGTGGGATGACTCCACCAAGGGTAAAGGTTCAGTGGCAAATAAAGGTCCCTCAGCAGTGCTAAGTCATGTCTAGGATCCCAGGACTCCTGGTTGCAGTAACACAATGGGCGCAAAGTGGAATCCCTGAGCTCATGGAACCTACAGTCGTGCGGGGGCAAGAAAATCAACACATGAATATACAATATAATGTCAGGGAGTGGTTAAAAGAAAAGCTTCAGCCAAATTAAATTTAATTTTAATTGAGTTTAATTGAGCAGTTTAATTGAGCAAAGAACAATTTGCAAAGTGGGCAGCCCCCCAGACCAGAATAGGCCCAGAGTGACTCTGGGGGTTGCCACATGGCCAGATAATATTTATGGACAGAAAAAGGAAAGTTGCCTTTAAAAAATGGAAGTGAGGTGCAGAAACAGCTGGATTGGTTACAGCACAGTCGCAGCGTTTGCCTGGTCTGATTGCAGTTTGAATAGTTGACCGCCTGTGATTGGCTGAAACTCAGTGACAGGTGCAAGAGTAGGTTATAGTCTGCTTACACATCCAGTTAGGTTACAGTTACTATGGACAGAGAAACCTTTAGGCCAAATTTAAAATATGCAATGAGGCAGCTTTAGGCTAAACTTAGTTTAACAGAGTGGACAGCACCATAAATAAAGAAAAGAAAAGCAGGGCAGGGGCTAGAAAGAGAGGGTGTGTGAAGGGCCTGTAGGAGATGAGGGATCTAGTAGCTGTGTGCAGACACCTGAGTGAAGGTCTGAGTGGAAGGGAGAACATGACCAAAGAGGTCCAGACATCCCCCTGACTGCTCCATTTCAAAACCTTCCCATCCCAGACTCCCAGACTCCCAGACTCCCTCTCCCCAGCCAATACCAGATGAGAAGGGCTAGCGCACAGGGTGAACAGCCCTGGACAGAGAATTGAATCTTGATGCTGCAAATCACTAGGTGTGTGACTTTGGATAAGTCACTTCTCTTCATTAAGCTTTAGTTTCCCCATCTGTAAAATAGGGATGCTGATTCCTTCCCTGCCTACCACACGGGACCACTGGGGAAATCATACAGTAACAGATAAGCAAGGCGCTGCTGTGCCATGGTCACAGTGTGCCATTTCTCTGCTATGTTTCCAACAGTGGAGTGCAGTGACAACCTCTTTACCCAGAGGACCGGGGTGATCACCAGCCCTGACTTCCCAAACCCTTACCCCAAGAGCTCCGAATGCTTCTACACCATCGAGCTGGAGGAGGGTTTCATGATCAGCCTGCAGTTTGAGGACATTTTCGACATTGAGGACCATCCCGAGGTGCCCTGCCCCTATGACTACATCAAGGTGAGCCTGCAATGGACATTTGTCCTGGGGATGCTGGAAATTCTTGGCTGAATTGGAAAAATTGATATTCTGAGCCCTTCATCTTCTTCCAGGATAGGTGGCCAAACAGCCAGTTTTCCAAAAAGTCATTATTTAAAATAACATTTTCCATATTCATCAGATCCAGTCTAGGAATCTTCTCTGACCCCAAATTAGCTCCCTGGCCACTCGGGTGATTTGAGGAAGAGAGTCACAGAGTCATATATGCATTTTGGAAAGGTGCCTTTGAGGGCAGACCCAGCTTCATGAGTGTGCATCCTATGCGGTCACACAGGGCTCTGGGCTCAGAGGCCCCAGGCTTGGTTCAATGTCCTGCCATCACCATCTTGAAATTCTTAATACATATTGAACAAGAGGCCCCATATTTTCATTCTGCACCAGACCTCACAAATTATGGTGCTGGTCCTGCTTGGGGGAAGAGGCTATGTGAAAGGCAAATCAAGAGTGAGGAGAATGCCACAGGCCAATAACTACTCAATGTGTGGTCACTCCAGTAGTGCAGGTGAGATGTGAAGGCAGCCTGAATTTGAGCCAGAGCTGGGATAGTAGGGAAGATACTTTTGAAATATGCAGGAAGTGAAATCAGTAACTCTTAGAGAGTGATCAGTCGAAACATTCAAGTGGAACTGAATATTATGGTCTGATCCCAGGACAGACACTGAGCTGGGGATAAAGATGGGTGCCCTCGAGTGTATAAACCATGCACCTATCTATACACCTGATGGCACCAATCTAGAAGCTGCACTCGAGTCCCTCCCTGCTGCCCCCTCCCAGCAGAGCTAAGACATGGTCCCTTGCATCAGAGTCCTCTCACACTGCAATTACCCTGACTTCTGTTGCTGCCACTGCCAGCAGGAGAAAACTATGGTTTAAAGAGGTCATGTGGTGGGTTAAGCCCACCCAGATGATCCACCTGTCTTTAGGTCAGCTAACCAATAACTTCAATATGTCTGCAAGTCCATTTTGCCATAGAACGTGATATAATCACAAAGGAACACGGGGTGAAGGTTGAGGGGACTGTCTTAGAATTCTGCCAGCCCCACATAGTGTCCCAGGAGCTACACGTGGGAACCTCACCCAGGCACATGACCTCTTGGGGTTGCATTTCTTCCCCCTTTGCACAATAAGGGTGACCAGATGAAGATGTCACCCAGGATTCCAGAAGTCACCATATGTCAGTTAAGGAATCCTGGTTCCCAGAGATGGAAGGAAAAGGGGTGAAAGGCATAGAAGAGACCCAGGAATTGGTGTGTGGGGGGAATCTGGATAAGCCAATGTCACCTACTGCCATCTCTTCTCCACTGCCACCCTCCCAGTCAAAACCTCACTGCCTCTCTCCTGCTCAACTGCAAAAATTCCCAACTGATTTTCTTGTTTCCACCCTTGCCCTACAGAATCTATTCTCCCAAAGAATCTAGTGTGATCTTTATAAAATCTAGATTAGAGTTAAGATTTTACTTGGAACTAAACCTGAATTTCTCTATACAATGCGGCCCTCCCCTGTCTTCTGGCCTCATGCCATGGTGCTCCCCCTATCCCGGCCACTCTGGCCTCCTGCCTGTTCTTAACACTTGCCCAGCTCTTTTCTGCTTTGGCCTTGGCCTTACATATGCTGTTTTCTCTACCTGGAAAGTCCTGTTCCCTCCTCTTCAAACAGGCTCCTACTCATCCTACATGTCTCTGATCCAATGTCACCCCCTCCGAAAGGCCTTCCTTGGTCACCTATTTGAACTTATTATCTATTATATCACTATTATATAAAAAATGAATTGTATATATCACATAGATTTTACTATTAATGGATAAGTTATAAACATATAGCATATATTTCTATTATATATTTATATCATCCTGATTATTTTTTTATTATTCTTATGATAGCCTATAATTCTTTTGTTCATTATTTGTTAGTCTTCCCCAACTAGACTGCAGGCTCTTTGAGAGCAGGGACGTTGTCTATTTGTGTGCCAGACAGGGCTCTGCCCTTCTTTGAGCCACGATATGTTCATCTTTAAGCAGAGGGTTATTAACCCACCTTGTCTACTTTGAGGACCACGGTAAATTATAAATGAAAGAATAGAGATGAAATCATTTGGTGAGAGGTAAGGCCTACTAAAAATGTACCAGAATACCATGGGTTCACATAGAGACTTCCAGAAAACCCTGGAGAGCAGTGTGGAGGTGTTGCCTGCAGCGGCCACCCCAGCTGATCAGATGTGGCCCTCTCTGTTCTACCTCACTTCTCACAGATTAAAGCTGGTCCAAACGTTCTGGGGCCCTTCTGTGGAGAGAAAGCCCCAGAACCCATCAATACCCAGAGCCACAGTGTCCAGATCCTGTTCCGCAGTGACAACTCGGGCGAGAACCGGGGCTGGCGGCTCTCCTACAGGGCGGCAGGTAAGCTCTCCCTCCCAGGCCACACGGAGCGCTGTGCTCAGCCCGCCCGGAAGCAGCGGCTGAAGGAGGAGAGGTGCAGGCTTGGAATGCCTCCTGGAAGCTGGTGGGACTCCCAGATGAGTAGCTTGGGACCAAGGTGCTTTCCTGACTTGGTTTTCCATCTATAAAATGGGGGCAAAGGCAGCAATAATGTTGAGTAGACTAGACTGGTTTCTCTAAACTTAGGGCTGAAATTTGGATGTGGACTAAAGCTCAGAACATTGCATTATGGCACTTTGCCTTCTTGTGGGTCTCATTCTCCAGTCCCTCAAGGCAGCCAGTCCTGGCCCAAACCCTCATAGAGCCATCTGACCTGTAGTAACTGATTTGAAATAACTCAAGGCAGAAGAGAGTGACCATCAGAGACAAAAGACCCAGCTGGGCATGACTAATCCAGTTCACAGAGGGAGACCCCGGCCTGGCCTGCATGGTCACCTGCAGTGCCCCATGGGGGAGAGGAGTGGAGAGAGGATAGTAACAAAAGAGAGTTTGTTTAGGAAGCAGTGTCAGAGATAGGCCTGAAATCCTTTAGCCTTTTGAAGAGAGGACTTAGAGGCATGTGATCACAGTCTCTCTAATGATTTGAACAAGGATCTTGGGAAGAAAGAGTGATTAGGGTCATCCTGGGTAGCCCACCAGGGCAAATTATGTGAAGTAAAAATTACAAGGGCACACATTTCGGCTGAACAGGAAAGCATTGTTCACTCAATTAGCAGAGTTTGTGTACGGAAGGTACAGATTAGGGAGGTACTGAGCTCCCTGTCACTATACGGATGCAAATACGTTTGGTGTTTACTATGGAGGAAATTGGAAAGAAGCATCGTTGGTCAAGAGTTAGATTCAATGACATTTAATATTCCTTTCAACCCCAAGTTTTAATGAAACCATCTGGCCAACCACCAAGTTGGAAAGTGACTTGCTCACAGATCCGCAGATCCAGAGTGAGTTTCCTGCAAGGCCTAGAAGGCCCAGGCCTCCAGTACCTAGTTGTGTGGTTTTCCCACCTCCATCAGGCCTTGCGTTCTAGGGCTGGCCCTTTACTGCCAGGCTTCTGGTTTTCTCACCTGCTGCTCTTTCATTCACTCCCCACCAGGAAATGAGTGCCCAGAGCTACAGCCTCCTGTCAATGGGAAAATCGAGCCCTCACAAGCCAAGTATTCCTTCAAAGACCAAGTGCTCATCAGCTGTGACACAGGCTACAAAGTGCTGAAGGTGCGGGGCCCTGCCTGGGGAGGGGTAGAAACCAGGCCAGAGAAACTCTCCGAACCCCTGGGGACAGATGGGCTGCCAGAGCTTGTCATAGTCCCAGCACAGTATTTCCTAACTGGCCCATAAACCTCCTAAATGCTCCAGAAATTCCGAAGCATAAGGCTGTCTCTCACTTCTGGAAGGGGCACAAAAGTTTTTTTTGTTGTTGTTGTTTTTAATCAAAGCAGGGACTGGTTTGAATTTTTTTTAAATGTGGATCCATTCAGCTCTATAATCAAGGCTGACAATGGTAATGATATTCATCAGACTTACAGGGTGGGGTGGGTGGCAGGAAGTCGAGGTTTGAAACGTGGCAGACTGGTGCTCCTCATTCCCCTACCCTCTGAAATGGTGGTTCTTCTAGGAATCACCTGGCTAGCATTAAACCAAAAATCACCTCCCAGGTCTCACTTGAGATCAACTAAAGCAGAACCTTTGGGGCTGGGACCGCTGATTGGGTTTCTTTTGTTCCCCAGGAGAGTCTAACGTGCGGCCAAGCTGGAGGACCACTGCTCTCAAGGAATGGTTCTCCATAGGGGTCCCTGGACTAGCAGCCTCACATCACCTGGAAACTTGCTAGAAATGCAAATTCTTGGGTAGGGCCAGATCCACTGACTCAGAAACTCTGGGGATGGGGCCCAGCAGACTGTGTTTTAACAAGCCCTTCAGGTGATGCTGGCTGCTTGGCCTTCTTTGAGAACCGCTGCTCTGAAAAAGGAGTCAAGGCTACAGATTTCCCTTCAGAGACAATTGCCTGAACTCCTTACACACAGCCCTTGCCTCTCTCCAGAGTAGGAACAGGGACTATGAATTCAGCATCTAACTTTCCCATATCTTTAAGCCTTCCCTTAGAGGCCCATGGCCCTTAGAGCTCAGGCGAGAACAGTGAGGTTTGGAGTTTGAGTTGGTTTTGTTAGGAAGCAGACATGGACCCCACCCTCACCTCCTTCTTTCCACTCCCTTCCTCCTATTTCTCCCCAGGATCATGTGGAGATGGACACATTCCAGATCGAGTGTCTGAAGGATGGGACATGGAGTAACAGGATCCCCACCTGTAAAAGTAAGAAAACATAACAGGGTGATGATGAGGGCAATGAGCTCCCCCACGCTGGTGGGATCTGGGCAGAGACCATGAAAGGGCACAAGCTTGGCAGGAGCTCTCTAAGGGGCAGGAGTTCAACAGACATGCAAGGGTTGGAAAAAAGAGTATCAATGACCCTTTCAGCAATAAGACTTTAGGATCCCAGAAGAAACTTCCTGTGGGCACCTGTTTACTTTCTAAATACTAACTTTACTTCAGCCTGCAGATAGGTTGCCAAGCTTGCTAAAGGAATAGCATGTCTCCAGGTTCAAAACTTGCTCTGGCAATTGCTAATTCAGGAAATGAGTCTGTGAGTCTGTCACTGGTGCCCAGAGTGGCTTGACCTTGCTGGTCTCCACGTGGCTGTCAGCCATGTCCACTAGGCCTTCTGGGGCAGCTCATGACTTGGCGCTGTGCGGGAAGGGCTGTGGGGTTCGCGCAGTGGGCCTGTGTGAAGCAGGGGTTACGGCTCTTCCCTGGTTCTTGGGACCCAGAGTCTCTGCCCCTAACCCGCTCTGTAACTGTAGACAAGATCCTTCACCTCAACTGTCAGATAAAGAACTTGGACTAGCTTTACCAGTCTAAAATGTGTGCCAGTGGTTCTGAAATAAAGTAGTCCACGTAAATCACCTACTGAGTTTTGTAAAATATAAGTTTCCAACCACTACCCCTCACTCCCCACCCAGGTGATTTTAATGCAAGACTTATAAGGACCACAATTTTAGAAACGTATCTATGGCAACAGTGATGAGCAGAGGCACAGGGACAGAAAGAGTCAGGGAAGGAAGGTAGGAAAAGGGGATGGAGTATTTCCTTTAGAATGGAGAGGTGAGGAGTCAAGAATTAGGGTTGGTCCCACCCGCCTTCACTTCATGATCTTTCCTGTAAACAGGAGCACTGTCTTCTTCCCTTTCTCCTAAATGGCTTTGATCCAGTAGGCAGACAGATCCACTGGGGGACACTCTCAGGGGCTGGGGACCCCTGAAGATGAATCTCAGGCAAAACTTTGATGCAGAAAGTGCTTGTTCTTAGTTTTTCTTTTTCATATGATGATGTGGCTGGAATTAGAGCCCAGGGTAGGAAAAGAGGGGCATTTCATGGCTTCAACAAAGGTTTGAACAAATCTTTACTGGATGCCTGCACAGAGTTCTACAGGGAATTCACTGGGACACACAAGGTCCAGACATGGAGGAACTCAAATGCTGGCGGGCACAGCCACCACCTCCTCCAGCACTGGCTTGCAGGCAGTGCTGTGACGAGGGTCTAAGCAAAGCACTCTGCAGGACAAAGCGGGGTCATTTTGAAGGAGGAGGTGGAGGAGGGTATGGAGAGTTCAGGACAGGATCAGAGTTCGAAGTCAAGAAGTTCTAGATTCAAATGCAGACTCTATTATTTGAGTAACCTATTTACTCAGACTTTTTGGCCCCGGTTTCCTGTCCTCGAGATTGTTCTGAAGACTAACTGGTTAATGCACATACCCACACCTGAGGAGTGCCAGGAGTATGGGCAGGATCAATTGAAGCTTATCCTCCACTCCCAGCCTCAATCTAATACTCTCACTAGGAAAAGGTTTGGTTTCTCTCATCCCTGCTTTTAGAAAGTAGGAAATGTTATTAATAACATTTTCCCTGATTAATAATTTTTCCCTGGCTTATGTTAACATACAACAGAATACCCTGTCACTGTGTGCTAAAGAAAAGGGGAATTTTTTTCTCCCTAATATGACCCTATCTTCCCCCAGTAGGCTATGTAAAGACTATTAGAACTCCCATTCAGACATCCCTGGCATCTTTGCTCACTCAGCAAATATTTATTGAGCATCTCTCTGTCCCAGACACTGTGCTAGGTCCTAGGGAACATGCAAAGACAAGACGGGAACATTGAGAGTCCGCAGGGATTGTGGGGTAAGGGACTGGGATCAGATGAGGGAAAAGGAAGCAGGAGTTACAGGTTGTTGTCCTGGCCCTGCCTCTGCCTTACTGTAGTGACCCTGGACATGTCCTGCTCTACTCTGAATACTGTCTGTGAAATGAGGGTTTGCATCAGATGAACGCAAAGCTCCCTCCAGGGATAGAATGTTATAACTCTCATGAAGTAGGATGTGTGACTATGCAAATTCTCAGAATATGACAAACTCCACAAGCCCAAACTATTCTTCATACTGCCTGTTACCTAAACTATGCATTCTTAATCAATTCCGGTGGAGTGATTTCTGTATTTCCTGCATAAACTGTTTCTGCTTTGCTTGCTAATTTCTTTCTCTCTCTCTTTTCCTCTCTCTGCTTCCTTCCTCTGTATCTCTCTATCCTTTTCTGATCTTCACCATGGTGGCAGAAAGCGAAATCGATTTGGAGAGCGAACTCAAGTCAGAGCAAGTGACAGAGTGAATGACGGGACCCCACACAGTGCAGACATCCAAGAATGGATCACTCACAAGACCCCCGGGTCCCAGAGCTGCTCCACCCCTCCCCTCCTGCCAACGCTCCATTGCCCAGTTCAGTGTGGACTAGAACGGGTGCTGAACAAGGCAACACGCTCTCAGCAGTTGAAGCTGCTGCATGTGTGAGAACACAGATTCTCCACTTGAGGGTTTGCCCATCATTCAAACATTACTCCAGAAAATAATGAAAAAAAAAAAGGGAATTTTTTTAATCACCTCTAAGTGGATTGTATTCTTCTCAAAGGAAAAATGCCTTCGGTCCTAGAGACACAAGATCTAATAGACACTCACATGACCTTAGGCTCATGAGGTCAAAGTGGGCCCTGGTTTCTAATCCATTACGTACTTCAAGTTTCAATGGGCCAGCATGCCTGAGACTTTATGACTCTAAAATTATTACCTGTTGCTGCTTTCTTAATAACCATGAGTAGGTAAAACAAATGATAACTCATATAATGTGAATATTTGAGAATCTGGACATTTTCTCATTCATGAAAGTATCCTTCTACCCCTACCTAACACAAGGCTGAAATTCCAGCATTCAAGGTTCTTTCCCTCTGGGGCTTACAAGTTCTTTGTTTCTTAAAATTCACTGATTAAAAATCTTAAAAAGATAGGCATCATACTTGAAAGCAGTGGTCCTCAGCTCTGGTGCCGTGGGACATCACTGGGTCCTGACCAGTGATAGAGAAAGGGCTATGGAGTGGCAGGCAGAATCTCTGCTTCAGCATGGGCGCCATCTGGATACACATGTCAGAGAACTCCTGCACTGAACTGTGACTGCCTAGTCTATTTGGTGACTAAAAGGCCACTTAATGAGGGCAGAATTCTGAGAAGTCTGGAGTAGAGGTGCCACTGAGAGAGGAGATGGGCTGGCTATCACTGCAAGCACCAGTTGAATAAATATCTTGAAGCCCACAAAGTGTTAACAGATATCATACTTGGTGTGATAGAGAAAATCATAATTTAAGTGTAATATTTGATACGCACCCAAATAGTTGCAATACCAGGCACCATAAGATAAATGCCATGAGAGAGACGTGAATAAGAGTTCCAGAACAAGGAAGCAGCCTTGCCAGAAGAATTGGAAAGGCTTTCAAAAAGAAATAGTATTTGATGAAGGCCTCGAGGGTGGCCAGAGCATGGACACAGGGTGACTGGGCAGCAAGGTTGGCATGTGCAAGGCCTGAAAGTGGGAGGTGGCAGGGAGAGTGGCACACTGAAGGGCTGTGATGCTGGAGCAGGGTGCATGAAGGGAAGGGAAGAAGCTGCGGCCCCATCCCTGGGGCCTGAGAGCCAGGTGAGCTGCCTGCACGTAGCACTCTGGGAAGCGCCTGCATATGGCAGAGCATGCTCAGGACTGTAGGTAAAGAAAGGTGTGTCTGAAGGACAATGAATGGCAGTGGGAGATGACAGTGGGGATGGGGTGTGGGCTGGTACAGCCCACCCCAGAGGACAATGAGAACGGGAGGCCAAGGGAATGAGAAAGAGAAGAGATAATTCTAAGGTATGGAAATGGCCAGAGAGAGGTTTAGAGAAAAGGATGAAACACTTCCTAAAGCAAAGAGCATAGACTAGCTGAGGAAGCAGGTCTGATGTGTGCTGGTTGTGCAGAGCTGCCCAAGACCCCTCGTGAAGACAAGTTGCCTCCAGGTCCCAGACAGACATGGGTTTTTGCCTGCCACCTAAGACCAAGGAAGAAGGGGCACCCCCTCCTCCCAGCTATACCCATGCTGAGATGACCCTCTATTTTCTACTGTTTATCACCCCCTTTGTCTAGCTGTCGGACCAGCTATATCTGTGGGCAAAGTCACTTCTCTGAGTGAAGTGAAAGCAGGCTCTCCACCCCAAAAATATCTCCCTGCCAATGCCAGCCACACACCAGGCTCTCAGTAGCCGGGCCATGTAAGGTCACCCTGGAATTCCTCCACTAGGAGCTAGGTAGTTAGGTCTTGAGGATACTGTAGGAAAAATGAACTGCCAGATGAAAGTAATACCAATATCTAGGCACCAGTCAATGGTATTTCCTAAAAGAAGAGAAAAATATCTGCTTTGAGTCTCCCTAGAAAAATAAATTTAAAACTGCTCATAGTTTTAAATAAAAAAAAATATTACCTCTTATTATCATAGTGTTGACCTTCACACACTCACCTCACAAAGTAAAAGAATGTCTCTACTTTTGGGTGATCAAAACAAATAAGGATGATTTGTGCAGGGGGACTAGAGGCCAAGACAAAAGCAGTTTTCTTGGCTTTTGCCTTTCTTGGGGATAAGAGGTATCTACGTTTACTCCCTTCCTTCACCCCTTTCCTGAAGGGCCTTGGAATTACCTGTATTTTAAATGAGATAATCCTCTAGTCAATTAAAAAGATGAATTTGGAATCCTAAAGTTAAAATGGGAATGTCTGAATAGTACTCAGGGTTAAACAGCCCTCACTGTTTCCCGAGGTGAGCAGGCAAAATTTAAGAGGAGGTGGATTTGGAAATTCTACCAGGGCTTTGGATGTGCTCACAGCCAATGCCCACTATTAGCCAGCTAATAGCTAGGACAGGCCATTCAACTGGAAAAGAGATCCTTAAGAAATACTAGTTCCATTTACTAAAACAGCATGGATTTTATGGTCAGATCTAGTTCTCACTCTGACAAAAACTCACATGAGAGCTTCACCTAGTTGAGTCTCCTCTCTGGGCTCACCTGTCAAATAAAGAGGATATTCTGGATTGCCTACCTCAAGTTCCTTTCCAGCTGTGAAATCCTGTGATCTGTGGATGATTCCTTGACTCTGGTACAGACTTATGCCTAAGACTAAGATTTCCTTAGAAGTAACCATCATCCTCTAAGGGAAGCTCCTGAAAAGACGTGGACAAACTGGGTCCTCTGTCTCTCGTGCGGCCATGAAAAGATGCCCTGAAGCTCAGGTGACTCATGCTGGACTCCTTCAGTGCCGGCAACTCCCCTCGGACCCTCTCAGAGGGGCAGGCACCTCTGGCAATGTCCTATACTGGGACTACAGCCAGCCCCTAATGTCCAGCCACCAACAATTAGAGAAAATGGGCAGAAATTGGAGGAAGGCATCTTCACAGAGTAAAAGCTGGCCCAGGAGGACCCCACCTCCTGCCTTCTGTAGCCAAGCGAGCCGCCTGTAGAGAGCCAGCAAGGTGGGGTGTGCACTCATGCAGGGACTGGGGGTTTTGTTTGGTTAGTTTTGGTTTTTTGTGCGAACTCTAGTGTGAGCACATTAACTGATCTTACTCAGCCTATGGTTGGGACTGAAAGAATGGAAGATTGTTTGGTTCAGTTCAGCCAGAGTTTTCTCACTGGGCCAAGGGCTTCATGCTTGGGTAGAAGAGGCATAGAAGGTTGTATAATAGAACTGAAAATCAAAGAAAGGGACCATGGTGGGTAAAAGACTGGAGTCTGCTTAAATCTCAGCAGAAATTTCCCTTCCCTGAAATTGACACCAGGCCAGGTGAGTTGACCACACAGTAGTATATAGTGGATAGAAGTCCTAGACCCCAAAAGCAGGGCCCCTGGTAACTGCACAGATTGTACACTGCACAATTCCAGGTGCACCATTCAGATAGACTATAGCATTGCTCTCTGCAACAGTGCGAAGTGAACAACCTGCACATCTGCATGAGACGGGCCCATTAGATGGTCCCAGGAAGAAGAACAAAATGTAGCTGAGGGTCTCACTTCTTCTCTATCAGTTGTAGACTGTGGAGCCCCAGCAGAACTGGAACATGGGCTGGTCACCTTCTCCACAAGGAACAACCTCACCACATACAAATCTGACATCAGATACTCCTGCCAGCAGCCCTATTACAAGATGCTCCACAATATCACAGGTAAGCCCTCCATGCTAAACCATCCCACGTCCACCTCCTACTCTCCCGGCCTCAGGGTTAGGCTGGGGCAGAGACAGCTCTGAAAGAAATACCTTCTTATAAGCGTGTGAAGCCTGATAATGCAGTCTCACCCCTCTGATTCTCACTGTCCAGGAGCTCCCATTATGGTGTCCATTTAGAAATACAGAAACTGAGACTCAGGACCAAAACCCAGGCTTTTTTTCTTAGCATTGATGCTATGAATGAGCATAGATAGATCTTGCTGGTGGGAGGATGAAGGGGTAGTATGGTGACAGAACTAAGAGAAGGAATGAAAACCCATAAGAAGCTTGAGATCTCCCAAGATAAGTTTCTTCATGTTTCCTGGGGCTGAGCTGAGGTTTCAAAAAAATGGCCAGTGTTGCTGCTTCAGCCAGTCTGTGCCTTGGCTCCGGCTGAGTGTACCACCTGGCCAGACCAAACCCATTCAGCAGGAAGGAGTCCTTCCTTCACAGCCCTGTTCCCCTGACATGCACAGGGGTCCAGGCTGGGTGGGGGAGCGAGGAGAAGACCTGTCTGCCTCGCCAGGTAGCCCAGCATATCCCTGATCAAGGCTGGAGCACAGCCTCAGCTGTCCCCTCCAGTCTTCATCCATGCCACCTGGCGGAGGCCCCTGGCTGTCCCAGGGGCTGAGCAGCAGCGCACAGGCCAAGGGGTGAAGGACCAGCGATCTCCAGTCCGTTGCCCACAGTGGAGGTGTGGGAGGCATGGGGAGGAGAAGCACTCAGAGATGTGCCTCCTTCCCTGCCTGTGGCAACCCTAACCCTTGCATAACCACAGTCCCCAACAGAAAAGGAACTCTCAGGAGGCAGAGAGGCCATCAGCTCTGCCTCCTTGGCATGGAAAGCACTAAGAAATTCTCCTAATTTCTCTAAGCCGCTTTTCAAAGAAGGAATAGTGATGCACCTCGCAGAGACTCAAATGAGGTGGCAGACACGAATGTGACTTATTAAAGAGTTTGCTAAGTGGAGAAGGGAGGGAAGGCCATGTGCACCTCAGAGAACAGCGCAAGCTCAGGTCTGTGTCACTCATGAGGGGAAGGTGCCTGCCAGAGGCTGGGCAGCTTCAGGCAGGGAGGGGAGCAGCCCTCCTACAGGCAGGAGTCAGATTGCACAGAGCCCTGGATGCCATCCTGAAGAGTGTGATGTTTATTTTTGGGGACAGCAGGGAGTCATTGGCAATTCTAAGGGACATGGTCAGATTTCCGTTTTAGAAAGATCCTTCGGGTTGCAGAGAGGATAGGCTCAGAGAGAATGGTATCAGAGAGACCATTCGGAAGACTTTTGCAGTGATCCATATTAAAGGAACTAGAAATCTAGATCTGTTTTCCATGTGCTATAAATCAACAATTTTCTCTCTCATTTTCTACCTTTTTTTACTCATCCAGGTATATATTCCTGTTCTGCCCAAGGGGTCTGGATGAACAAAGTTCTGGGAAGAAGCCTGCCTACCTGTCTTCCAGGTACCTCACTCTGGTCTCCTCACCCTCTACCCCAAGGTCTCCCATCCGAGGCCCTAGGCCCCAGGTGCTCTGGTTGTTAATAGAGAGATGGGGGCGGGGAGCTGATGCTTTGATTGTTTTTTAAGAGCTGTCTTCAGAAGGTTAAAGGTCAGGGAAGCCCAGCTTCACACCTTTTCTAACCAATCGGCCTCCATAGTCCTCCCACTTTATCCTGCCAAAAACCCTTCTGTCTCCTCTGTCCAGTTCTGTCCCCTTGCCACCAGGTCTTTCATCCAACACAGCTTGTGTGTGCACCTGCTATTGTGCCAGGGAAATCAAGAAAGTGGGCACCCTGTTCTCAAGCACTCACCATGCTACCATATAACTGTGGGACAGAGTAAGAAGTTCTTCCAAAGAGCAATGTGTTTAAGTCCCTGGTTGCTGCCTTCCCCATGGTTTACCCACTGACCCCCCTTTAAAATGGAAAGAAAGTTTTGTGGTAACAGGAAGTATCACTAGACATATAGATTTGGGGGATATTTGCTTTAGTATGAATGATTTGCATTGCAATCACAGTATATACATATTCAAATAGACTTAGAAAATTATAGCCCCAAAATGCACACTGTAGGGTTAAACAAATAACCTACAAAACATTAAGTTTAAAATTCACAACAGGGTAATTAATTTATACTTTTCAAAAAAACGAAAACTGCAGTAATGAAATGATACAACTCAAGACAGCACTGAGGAACGCTGAAAAATAAAGTGTTTGTCCTAATTGCATTTGCATGTTTGTACGAACAGCAGGAGCTTTGCAATATACTTAGGCATTGGGTAGCATTTGTATGTTAACTGAATTAGAGTGTTGGGTAAACTGAGGTAGTGTATTATATTAATGGTATATTTCAATAATCCTCTGTATTCACTCAGTGGGCTTCTAGATATTAGACACTAACATGGAAAGGCTATGGAATCATCTACCATTAATCCTCAAGAAGTGAAGACTGTGTTAGCGTTTGGGAGTCAGTTTTTGCCATTGTAGGTGCTATGGGATCCCAGAGAAGAAGGAAGTAACTGTGCCTGGTTGTCTAGGAGTGCAGGGATGAGAACTGGCAAGGGAGACCTCCCATAAGAGTCTTTATGCCTAAGAAGGAACTTGTGAGAGGGTAGAAGAAGGGACAGGCCACCCCATTCATATCTGTTGATCCCACTCAGCTCAGCAGGGCTGGCGGAAGCATATCCACAGACTCCAGGGAAGGAAGCCTCAGAGAGGAGAGCAATGGTGGAGTCGTGGCAAACTGCAGGATCAAATCCCCATTTTGCTAAAAGACTACGTGAGCCAAAGGAAACTAGGAGTAGATTCTCTTTTGGGAACCCATATTGCAACCTCAGGAAGGGGAAGATGGGCTGAGCTGGGAGTCAGGGGCCTGGATTCTAGTTCTGGTGCTGCTGTTTCCTAACTATGATCTTTGTAAGGAATTACACCTCTGTAGGGCAGGGATTCCATACCTCAAAAGTGAGGAAGCAGGACCAGGAAACCTAGGACATCCCATGACTCTTAATGGTCATCATTCTCTATGTTTGTACAAAGCATCTTGTGTACAAAGAGTCGCAAAATGCTTTTAATACTCGGTACTTGAGAGAACCATGTTGTATCTTTGGACCAGGTCAGAAATTTCTAGGATGTCTCCTCTTAAAACCCTGAGATTGAACCAGGATGCATGCCAGGATGGAAAAAGTCATTTCATCTACCATTACAAAGCCTACCCTTCCAGAGCACCTGTTGTAAGCAAGTATTGTTTGCCCTCTTATTTTACAAATAAGAAAACTAAGGAATGGTGCAGTGATTTGTCCAAGGCTACTCCTAGGGAGTTAGGGGCAGAGACAGAAGGTGAACCAAAGACTTTTGATGTCAACACAAGCAATGTTTAGCTATTCCTTGACTCTGGTCATGTTCCACACCATGCTCATGAACCCAGGATCCTAGAGCATCACATCTTTGTTTCAAGGGCCCTCCCTCACCACCCACTGTCTTTGAGAGCCCAAATCTTGCTTCAGCACAGCCAAAGCTAACATTTCAAGAAAATTCTTTTGTCCCAGGAAGACTGGGTAGGGAATGGGAGTGGCCTATAAGAATGACCCCATTTCAATGGGCTCTCCAAAAGGCTTGTTGCATCATTTAGCCTCTTGAAAGGACAAGAGCACACCAAGGAGAAAAATAGATTTTAGTGGATAAATTAAGCTAGAGTCAGGAGAAATGGGTCCCACTTCTGGCTCTACCACTAACAACTTCGAGTAAGTCACTTGCTTTTTCTGAACTTCCATTTTTCCATCTGCAAATTAGCTATTCTCCAGGGTCTCTTTGGCTCTGAACTCCTGTAACCTGGGCTGTGCCATCAGCACTTTGGTCAGAGAAAGGCATCGATCAGCGCTGGCTCTGTTGTGACCACGGACTGAGCCACAGCCATGTCCCTCACCAGATGAAGGCCTTGCAGTACTAAACGAGTGGTCATGTAGGGCCAGTCACAGCTCTGCCTTGAGATGTTACCTTGTAGGCTGCTTCTTGTAATTGGGAGGCTGGCCTTCAACTTTGAAAGGCCAGGCCACAGAGGTTACAAAAGTCAACTTACATCTGGCCTGGGGTGAATGGCAGGTCGCCCCAGGATCACACAAGAAGCATTTGGTATCAGCAAGAAGAGTATCTGAAAAACATTAGGTTGCTGAAACTGCCCTCTCAAGGTTACCAAGAAAACGCGAATGTTCCATGGTCTCTAAAGGATTGCTGCAAGTGTCCAGGCTAAGGAGTGTGGCCTGGCCATTTGCAACCGGGATGAGACCCACATCCACGCCAGGCTTACGTCCCTGGCCCAACCACCCTGCCTGGGAAGGACCCATGTGAGCGTGTTCTTAGCCAGCAGGGGGCTGGTACTGAAGACCCTCTGCTCATGGGCCAGAGGCCTTTGGCTGCAGGAAGCTGGTGGTGCATGTGCATGCTCGGGGTGCGACTCAGTGGAATGAAGTTTGCTCAGACCTTTCTCCTTCCCCTGAAGGTACTACAGGGCTCTTGGGTGCAATGATGGGTGGCCAGAACAGGGCTCATGCATCATTGCTCATAGATTATGCCACTTTTCCCAACCCTGGATGCCCTGGGCCTGATTCACAGGCATCGATTGGCAGCATGAGTCCTTTAGGAGAGAGAAGAAAGAGTTTGCAGGCCTGCAACCGTGATCTTAATATGCAATGAGGCAGTATGGCATAAAGCACAAGCCATCTGTCTTAGAATCTAATTAAGCCCCTGCTATTCAACTTGACAGCCATGTCACTAAGGCTAGTCACTTAACCCAGAGAGAGTTTTACTCACCTATGAAATGGTGGTGGCCAGGGCAAATGAAATAAATATCAAAGGTGTTTGGAATGTGAAGCATCCTTGGAGATCATCTTGACCATCTGCCTCATTCAGCAGATCAAAAAAAAAAAACAAGAAAAATGGAATCCAAATGGGAAAATTGGTGGTGCAGAGTAACATAGAAAACAGAAGAGAAAAGCCGGGTGAAGGCTCCAGGTGTTCTGGTTCCCAGTCCAGTGTTGGCCGTGACCGGCTAATTGGCCTTTTAGGTTCCTTCCATCTCTCCCTGTTCATCAACATGGAGAGTAAACTTCCAGAAGTTTTCTAAGTTCCCACCATGTGGCCCCCTTCTGGGATGAAACATGCTTTTTCTGGGTGAGAAAGAGAAGTGACCATGGCCAGGCACACGCCTGGCTGTAGAAGTTCCAGGTCACAACTGGTCTTAGCCATAGGTGGTTAAGGCCCAAGCATGAAACGGTCCAGTCCAGAGACAGCCCCAGCTGTAGAAGGGCTGGCCTGGAGAGACTTAGAGCCAAAGTGACCCCAGACAGGGCTCTTCGCGGCTAGCACGCAGGTTAGGGTCCCACTGTGGCATAATCTATAGTGGGTGAGATTTGAATTTCTCTTCGTGGCTCCTTTCACATGACTGACCTGACCAGTCTGTCTCCTGTCCCCACCCCGCTTCTCCTTACAGCGTGTGGTCAGCCCTCCCGATCCCTGCCCAACCTGGTCAAGCGGATCATCGGCGGCCGGAACGCTGAGCCCGGCCTCTTCCCGTGGCAGGCCCTGATAGTGGTGGAGGACACCTCGAGGGTGCCAAACGACAAGTGGTTTGGAAGCGGGGCCCTGCTCTCTGAGTCCTGGATCCTCACAGCGGCCCACGTGCTGCGCTCACAGCGCAGGGACAATACGGTGATTCCGGTCTCCAAGGAGCACGTCACTGTCTACCTGGGCCTGCACGACGTGCGGGACAAATCGGGGGCAGTCAACAGCTCAGCTGCCCGGGTGGTGCTCCACCCAGACTTCAACATCCAGAACTACAACCACGACATCGCTCTAGTGCAGCTGCGGGAGCCCGTGCCCCTGGGGCCGCACGTCATGCCTGTCTGCCTGCCGAGGCTGGAGCCCGAAGGCCCGGCCCCCCACGTTCTGGGCCTGGTGGCCGGCTGGGGCATCTCCAACCCCAACGTGACAGTGGACGAGATCATCAGCAGTGGCACGAGGACCCTGTCAGACGTCCTGCAGTATGTCAAGTTGCCCGTGGTGCCGCACGCCGAGTGCAAAACCAGCTATGAGTCCCGCTCGGGCAACTACAGCGTCACAGAGAACATGTTCTGTGCTGGCTACTACGAGGGCGGCAAGGACACATGCCTTGGGGACAGTGGTGGGGCCTTCATCATCCTTGATGACTTGAGCCAGCGCTGGGTGGCCCATGGCCTGGTGTCCTGGGGAGGCCCTGAAGAATGTGGCAGCAAGCAAGTCTACGGAGTCTACACGAAGGTCTCCAACTATGTGGACTGGGTGTGGGAGCAGATGGGCTCTCCGCAAAGTCTGGGGGAGCTCCAGGTGGAGCGGTGAGCTGACTCCCTCCCTCAGGGCCTGTCTACTCTGCCCCAGCCTGAGCGAGGCTACACCGCACACTTCTGGAAGCACACGCCACGCTCCTGACCAGGCCAAATAGAATGGAACACACTGACCTAGCGGAGAGCCATCCTCCTGCGAGTCTGCAGTGTGGTGAGGGAAAAGGCTCTAGGCAGAAGACCTGGGCCCCAACCTTGTCCAAGTCCCTTTCCCTCTCTGGACCTCAGTTTCCCCATCAGTACAAGGAGGGAGCTGGACCAAGGCCTCTGGGCCAACCCCAGCACTCCTGTCCAGGCCGTGCCTGGCTTCATCCCTGTGGCCTGCATTCGCTCCTAACCATTTATCAAACTCATTGGTCTCACTGTTGGTATAACTGAGCTTGGGCCTGATTATTAGAAAATGGTTCTTTACATTGAAGTAAACTCTGAGTCTATATATTCTCCCAGCTCTGCCTCTAAAAGAAAATCACTGAGGTTTTGGGAGACAGGGCTCATAGCCTGGAGCCCCTCTCTTCTAGTGTAATGCTTTGGAGCACTTTTGTCCCTGGGAGCACTCCCAAAAGCTTCTCGCAGTCTAAGCCTTATCCCTTATGTTCCTCATTATAGGAATTTCAAAGGACAAAGAGAAAGTTGGGAAGGTTTGTGTTTATTGGAGCGAGTAGAATAGCAGTAGGAGGCTCCCCAAACCCCTTAAATTCCTACTGTTGACTCAGAACACGTCATTTGGGCACATATGCCACTCTTGAACACCAGCTGACACCACAGGGTGTCCAACCTGCTGCTCCAAACAAGCACAAAGCAACTCTTCAGCCTTTAAATGTATCATCTAAAAAGGCTACCTGAGCTCCAGCCCCGGATGTGAAGACTTGGCTGATTACTTGGAAGAAGAAAAGACCCACACCATGCCCTGCTGTGCTTTTGGGCAGGACGATGGAAGAAAGGGTAGGCTCGGGACATTGGAAGTCATCCAAATCCTGCCATCCTGCCCAGCATCCCTGAGCCTGAGCCGGGCGGAGAATCTGCCCCACAGGATTTGCGGAGAGATCCACTCCTTCGTTTTCCAGGGGCCAGAGGTCAAGGGAAGCAGAGACTCACCCGTGACAGGCAGTGAAAAGAGATGGAGAGCCGAGTCCTGGGTTCTAGCCCCAGCTCTGCCTCCACGTGGCTGTACGACCTTTGACAAATCATTTTCCTTCTCTGAGCCTCAGTGCCCCCATCAGTAAAAGGGAGGCATGAGGACCCTCTGACACTCAGAGCTGCCGTGTTTGCCAGGAGCCTGTCCCTGACTCTCACGGGTTCGATTGTCCTCCTTCCCCTGGAGCACTCTGCCTGGGAATCTCCATCAGAGAAAGGCAGCCAGGGAACCCGGGGACAGGGTTCCAGGAGAACAATGGGGAAGTGTCCGCTTTCCCATTGGTTCATCAGAGCACACTCCTATGTCTGCAAACGGCACATGTAGAGGATGCTATATTTCGTATATGTTATATCACATGCTTCACTGCTCTGTAAGGGGCCTCTGCACTCTGTTTCTCCTGCCAGTGGTCTACAGTGGAAATAAACCTTCTGTGGATAACCGACAGCCTTGGTTTGGGTGTTTGGTCATTGTTACTAAAGTATGTTTGCTTGTCTTGACTTTTGGGGGAAAAAATCGGCCCCTTCATTAAGCCAAAATCTCCCTTGCTTCAGAAAAACTACAATCTTTGGCACCTGGAAATCATCCAGGAAGATGCAATGAGGAAAGGAGTTGGTATACTGATAGGTCTCCTTCTCAGAGGCTGCATGTTCCTTCATTTATGTGCTGCTATTTAAGTCCTTGACTTCAGACTAGCCAGCATGAAGGTCTCACACAGGCAAACAGAGTTAAATGTAAGAGGAATAGAGATTGAAGTACTATGGGAACTTAAAGGAGGGAAGGATTCATACAGCTGGAAGGGACTGGAATAGCTTTGCAGAGGCTTCAAAGGATGCACCGGGAGGTGGGAGGGAAGGGACAGAGTGGACAAAGGTATTGAGGCAGGAAGACAGGCCAGGACTGGAGTGGGAGCAGCAGGCATTGTTAGAGTGTGAGGAGTCTCAAAATCCATACTCTATTTGGCCTCTGTTCTGGAGCCAGTGATTCTCTAAGTTTGGGATATATATATCAGAATCACCTGGGGAGCTTTGTGAAAAGTGCCAACTGCTGGGTCTCACCCATTGGAAATTTTGAACTCAGCAGGTCTGAGTGCAGGCAGCATGGCGTGGAAAGTGGGGAGGTGAGGGCTGAGCTTGGCAGGGCAGCTGGGAAGCTTCTGCAACTGCCTTCATGAGAGATGGTGAAGACGCACCAGCCCCCAGCCTGTGACAGTGCAGACGTGGAACGGACCGTCTACATGCATTTAAGTGGTATATTCGGCAGGGCTTGGCCTGTAGGCATCTCCCAGAAAGTGCAAGCATGAGGGTGCTCATATGGCAAAGCTAAGCTGAGAGTGAGGGCTCCCCCAGGAACACAGTCTGGTTTGCCTTTGTTTTTGGTTTGTATCTTAATGAAAATGTCATGCTTTTTATACTATAGAGAACAAAAAGAAGCATAAATTGTGCTTTACATTTTTATATGTTGCTGGCGTCAAGGACTATTATGTCTCATGTTCTGCTACATTTCTGATTTTCATTTTCCTCTAGGTATTTGGACATCATGTTGTAACATAGTCAGACCCTGGGGTGTCTTGAGGTTACATGGAGAGTGTATTGTGACCCTGTGACGTGGAGCTGCTCTCTGCTTCTCCTAGTCACTTACCACCACCTTAGTGACTGGCCATGGGGACTGAAGAAAAGGGAGACGGCTGGTGCAGACATTGACAGACACCTGGAATAGCAAAGGGGAGGAGGCTGGTGACCGTGGAGACCAGGGCTTGGTTTTGCTAGGTTTGAAGAGCTTGTGAGCAGTCCAGCTGGACTTATACGTAGGCAGTAAAGAGGAGCGAATTTCAGAGGACAGGGGAGATTTAAAGACACTGCTTTGAAATTCATGTGATGGCAAGGAGGTGGATGGTGTCACTACTGGAAGTCTGAAGAAAAGCAAAGAAGACCAAGGGCTGAATGCGGGAAACACCAGCGTGGAAGGCATGAAAGAAAGAGAGGCCCCAAGAATGACATAGACCAAAAAAAAAAAAAAAAGAGAGAGAGAGAGAGAGAGGGAAATGAGAAACAGGAGAAGCCAAGGAGAGAAAAAGTCAAGAAGGAGGAAGTGGTTGTTCAGTGTCCAACACTGCCTGAGAGTCCAGGTGAATGCCTGCAGTGTGGCACAGGAGGGGTCTCTAGTCATGTCTGAGGGAGTGCATAGGCAGCAGGCTCTGTGCTTGAGTTTAAAGTCTGTAACACTTTTCTCTTCTCCTGTCCTCTCTCCCTCCCCCCTCTGTCCTCCTTGCTCTCTCTCCAGCCTCATTCTCTGCAAGAAGGGTTTTTAGCTCTTTCCTGAGAGGCAGGAAACTGCCCTTGCATCCTCCCTTCCTTATGGCTTATGATGGAAATTATATGCTCAGTTCTCCAGGTTTTGGTTCTTTAAAACCTACAAATGTTTATTCTTACCACAAAGCCTGACTCTTCAAATGAAAGTCTGCATTTCCAGACTTTGGTATCTACTTTGCTCTTTCAAAAGTCAAAGTCTTCACCTAAAACAGCTGATGGGGAGCTGTCCATTCTTCAATGTTTGGGTAGCCACAGGGCAAGGAGAATCCCTAGGGATGGAAAATACATCAGATAAAATTTCATGAATAGTAACCTCTTATATATGTAAATATCACTATTAACGTTCCACTTAATGGTCCCAGAGCCGTTCTATCTCATCTGCAATGACAGGTCTATTAAATATTCAAATGGCCGCTCATTTTCAAGTCTGTGCAGTGCATGGTGCTTTCTTTCCATGATGCAGCTCCAAAGCAGAGGGAAGGACGTGGGGACTGAGTGTCAACTCCTCTTTGCAGCAGCTTTACTATGGGAGGACAGAGAAGGAATGAGGGAAGCAGGGAAATGGAAACAAATTTTTAGGAAGAGAAGTCTTGACTATGTTTTGGAGGCATAGGAGAGGAAATGGAAAATACAGGAAAGGAGTGACAATCCCCAAGGCCAGGTCCCCAGGAGTTTAGAAGTGAGGAGACCCAGAGCACAGAATTTGTTCCGAAGAGAAGAACGTGTACAGGAGGAGAAGATGGGAGGACGATGGTCCGGGGAGTTCCCACCAAGGGGCTTTGAGCATCTGCTGGGAACGGGGCAGGCTGCTTGCTTGGGCAGCTGGCTGAAGGCATGTGAATGCTGCTGGGAGGTGCTGAGGATGCAGTTGAGGTTGCAGCGTATTTATCTGTGATTTTTCCCAGACTGGTGACAGCTGCAAAGGGGGCAGGTGACTGCCTGGATCCAGGGGCTGGGCTAGGCGTGCTCTGGGAAACCACAGGGTGAAGAGTTAGTGGTGCTGGCCAGAGCGGGGAAAGCCCAGAGTTGGGAGTCAAGAGATCCAGAATTACAGCCTTGCCACCACTACCCATAGGATGGCTTTCGGCAAGTCGATTCCCTTCTCTAGGCCTTAGTTTCTTTAACTACTTTGGGACCAGTGTCGACTGCAGTCGATAGCCACAGACAAACGCGCACAGCAACTTCAGCCAACAGCTGTGATGTGAAGGCGCACAGTCAAGTGTCCACTTTAGCTGACAGCCATGATATGACTTTTCTAATTTTTCATTTATCAAAATAATAACATAATAATAACATTTAAAAATAACATAATGAAAACATATACGTATATGTCACCCATTCTGATTTACATTATAAGTAAAGATGCCTATAAAGTAAAACAAGCTTTCAGTGCTTTAAAGCTTTCCTCATCACACAAGAGCAAAACGGATTTGTCGTCAATGCTCAGCACAAACTATCGTGCGGACTATGAGTGCCGGCTGTGGGCAAGGTTTCACGGCTGGTGAGCGCAGTCCCAAAGTGGTTAACTATGTGAAGGGAGGGACAGACTGGGTGGCCTCCAAGGGCTGGTCAGCTGTAGTGTGTGTGTGTGTGTGTGTGCGTGTGTGTGTGTGTGTGTGTGTGTCTGTGAACCCACGTCGGTGGAAAACAGGGTGGAGCTGGCAGGCACTTGTGGGGTCTCCAGCCCCAGAAGACCCTGAGTAAGGGCTTCCCTGAGGAGATGATCTCGGTGGATGGAGCATGAGGATTCTTTATTAGTCAGGATTCTTTCATTTGTGAACGAAACTCAACATAAACAGCTTGAGGGATGGGGGAGTAGGGGAGACAGAGAGAAAGAGAGAGAAAATGTTTAGGCTCACATAACTGAAAAGACCATACCAAAAGGCTTCAGGTATGGTTAGATCAAAGGGCTCAACTGCCAGGAAATAATCTCTCTCACTTTCTACACCCCTCATCTTTCAGCTCCACTTTCCTCTCCGTTGGTAGGTAGCACCATTCTCAGAAGATTCTCCGTGAAGTGATAGTTGGAAGATCTTGGCTTATAGCCAACAGCTTAGCAACCCAAGCAGAGAATGACTATTTTTTTCTGATATGTTTAGCAAAATTCCCAAGTCAGGCTTTCTTTGGCCTGGCCAAGGTTACATAACCATCTCTGAGCAATTGCTGTGACCAGGGGGTCCATGGCTTTGATCATTCACATACCTATCCCTGAGCCCAGAGGTGAGGTCATTCCAACCCTAGGTGCGTAGATTAAGGGTGGGGAAAGTGCAGATCCCAAAGCAAAATTGGGGTGCTATTATCAGAAGGGGCAAAGGGTGCTGGGAGATGAAAAATAACAGCTGTTCCCAACAGGGCGATGAGCTAGTAGCTCTGGCAATGGGCAGGAAGGAGCCCAGAGTGTGACCTGTCCCTCCCTCCCTTGGCTGCAGTGTGTGGGCTCCCCAAGTTCTCCCGGAAGCTGATGGCCAGGATCTTCAATGGACGCCCAGCCCAGAAGGGTACCACTCCCTGGATTGCCATGTTGTCACAGCCGAATGGGCAGCCCTTCTGTGGGGGCTCCCTTCTAGGTAAGGAGAAGGTGGAAGGGTGGAAGCTGAGGCACCGAACCCTCTTCCTAAGGACTAACCAAGGTTTCTCCATTGAGAATCACTGTCCCCACTGGTGTCAGGGCCCAGCAGTACAGTGTGGTAGAAAGAGTCCTTAACTGGAGCCATGAGACATGTGTTCCTCCTGCTCTTACTGATTTTTTCAGTCAATAAATACCTACTGGATCCTGATCAGTCTCTGGCACTGGGAAGGTCTAAGCCAGGGAGTCAGACTCCCAGCCATGAATTGCAGCACAAGACACCTATGTGGGGCTCAAAGGCAGGGTGTGCCAGGGCTTCAGGATCAGGGCTAACCAGGAAACATCCTGCTGGCTGACCCTGACATCCTTGCTTTCTTCAGGCCTCAGGGTGTATGTCTATAAAATGAAGGGTTTGGATCAGAGCAGTGGGTCTCAGTCCTGGCAGCAGTAGAATTACCTAAGGGAATGTTGAAAACTGACCTGTGTGTAGGCTCCACCCCCATGACTTAAATGGTCTGGATCCAGGCCCAGAAACTGATTTTCTCTTTTTATGTTGTCCAGGTTATTCAAATTTGCAGCCAGCACAGCTAGCTACTGATGAGTACTTTTTAAAACTTTAATGTGCATAGGAATTAGCTGTGTATCTTGCCAAAATGCAGACTATGATTCAGAGGATGCAAGAGGGGCCTAATAGTCTCTGCTTCTAAGATGCTCCCAGTGATGCTGGTGCTGCTGGCCCAGGGACCACACTTTGAGAAGCAAGGCCTGAGGAGCAGCCCATGAGCACAGGGTTTCTGTGCACCTGCCTTGCGCTATCTGGTGCTCACCAGCAACATGGATTTAAGAGATCCCTGAAACACTCTTTAAAATGTCCATTCCTGGCCTGAAATAGAAGAGGCAGTTGACATCACAGGTTTAACTCTTCACCTTCAGATTGGGATCATGCAAGAGGCTGGGTAGGGGCTGTGAAATACCATGGAAAGGGGTGTGGCTGTTTGCAGGGTACCTGGGGCAGTCTGAAGGTCCTCAGCTCCAGGCAAGGGAGACAGGACCCGGCAGTGCAAGGCAGCATGTACATATGTCCCACTCTCCAGGCTCCAGCTGGATTGTGACAGCCGCTCACTGCCTCCACCAGCCGCTCGATCCAGAAGACCCAACCTTGCACGACTCAGACTTGCTCAGCCCTTCTGACTTCAAAATCATCATGGGTGAGTGAGGGGCGAGCTGATTCCCAAAGCCAGTCTGGGAATGAGGTGACACTGCTGCCATTTTCCAAGGCATGCCCACTCGCTCACTCACTCATTTGTCAGGGTAGGGCACCTGGGATGAAGGCTCAGGGACCTGAGTCCAAGTCCAAGGCTATGTGACCATGAGCAAGTCATTGAAGTCTAGGCTTCAGTTCTCACAAGGGTAAAATAAGGAGCCCACTCTAGGCAATTTCCAAAGACCCTTCTGGCTCCTGTGAATCCATGGTTTCAAATGGATCACACATAAACAATCCAGACTCCCCTCTCCTTTATTAAATCAAGACCACCACTTGATTCACCTCAGCTCAACACATATTTACCTACTGACACTATGCCAGCATCTAAGGACACAGTACGATTAAGACCTAGTTCCTGCCCACAGGGAGCTTACAGTCTAATAAGGGAATAAGATATGAGCACAGAGACCACTCATAGAATCAGGAAGCAGTAAGTTCTGTATCTGAGGGGAGCCGATAAAGTGCCATGGGAGCTCACAGAGGAAAAGACTTCTAATAAAGAATCTTAGAGGCTTTATGGAGGAAGCAACGTGTGACCCAGGTACTGAGGGTGATCATATCGATTGAACATGTGGCAACAGGCATAAGAACAAGCATTTTAAGGCAGTGGGATCCGCACAAGAGGTAAGACAGAGGTGGGAACCTGCGAGAATATGTGGGGAATGGCAAGTAGGGTGGGATGGCTGGGGAAAGGTGGGTGAGGGTCAATGAAAGGGTTAAGGCTGAAAGCATGGGCTGGGTGGGACCCAGGTCGGGGCCGATGGGGAGCAACGGGGAACCGTGTCCTCCATTGCCCCCATGCCTCATGTGCCTTCTTCTTACCCAGGCAAGCACTGGAGGATCCGGTCAGATGAAAGTGAACAGCATCTCAGGGTCAAA